GTTGGTAACCACCCAGGAGAATGAAAGAAAAGTCAGGAAGAGTCTGAGAAAGAGAAGAAAGACGTGTGTGACCATAATCGTCGGGAATCGAACCCGCAATCTATCGATTGGAAATCGCTGCACATACCACTGCACCATATGGGACACACACACACACACACACACACACATACACGCAAACACACACACACACACACACACACACTGACATTTCCCTGCTTTCCTATTAGGGAGATGACAGTACTCTCTTGAACAAAACAGTCTTAGTACAAGACTACCCTCGTTTGTAGACAAACACGGGCGTGGGGATCGTTTGTCTTAACGGATACAGTAAAACCTGTTAAGGCGAACACTCGGATAAGGTGACCATCTGTCCCAGAAGACACTTTAACCGGGACCAAGGCATGCTATTTCCAGTCAAACGACCCTGGATAAGGAGACCACCTGGTAACAGAGACTACATTTTGAAGGTCCCTTGAGCGGTCGTCTTACACAGGTTTCCCTGTATTACCTACTATCCAGACTTGAATGTACACGTTTCAGGCACCAGGGGATTTTTGACCGTTGTCTACTACAGTCCATTTCAAAACTGTAGACGCGTACCTAGGCAAAAACCGTTATGCCAGCATCTATACCACATAAAATCTGTGATCACTTTGTGCATATTTTTTTCTAAATTGGGCGTCTGTTATCCAATCGTTTAGCAACTATATGAGAGTAATTGTGGAGCGGCCCTGAGCAGTATTCCGAAAACTATTCTCAAAAAGGTCCAGCCAACTTTGAAATATTTCAAAAACCCTACGCATCTATAGTTTCGAAATGGACTGTAATGAGGGTTGTCTTGTAACCTATTTTTTTTTCTTTTTTTCTTTTTTACTAGAGCCACGTAAACCCGTCATGTGTGAGCCATGAATAAGGGGAGTGGTGGCGTGGTCTGGGATGATCTGCCGACCTTGGGTCTCGGCTTCATCACAACCAGGCGCGCCAATAGCAGAGAGAGAAAGAGAGGGAGGGAGAGAGAGAGAGAGAGAGAGAGACAGAGAGACAGAGAGAGAGAGACAGAGACTGAGACAGACAGAGAGAGTGTATATATATCTATGTCATACTAACCAGTGTAGACCTGTATATCGTGTACGTTCTCCACTACAGTCCATTCAGAAAAAGATGATATCCTAGCTTTTGGCCAGTAAATGGATCGATTTTTGATTTTTTTTGTCCCAATTTTTTCGGCAATCCTCCATGGAATGCTCTTCCAAATTTCAAATCTCACGGCACAGCACAGTGTACCACAAAATCGCCAAATGCGGGAGCTCTCCGGAGCCAGCGCTCATCTTCTTCTGAATGAACTGTAAAGGTACTTCTACGGTTCGCCCTCGCATATGCATATTTAATTTAGTTTCACTTATCTACGGCCTCACTAGATCCCCAATAACCAACTTGCTCATGAGCACGTTTTCAACGGCATCTTCACACTGCTGACGCTTTGCACTGCAATGCCTCATACATCTGAAGTAAATCGACCCACAGGCGCACCCGGGGACCCAGAGGTAGACTAATGGCGTCAGCGCGAGTCTGCTTGGCTGCGACCTACTCAGCTACAGTCGACTCCACATATACTCCGAACTCGTAACGAACTCGCATATAGCAAATTCCGTGATATAGTGAACCATTGTCCATGTCCACGTTTGAATCCAAACAAAATTGACCATTTGCAGTGAACAGTTTCCGCTTATAATGAACTAAATCTTGTAGGACCACGTGCGAACCAAGTTCGCTCATACCGTCATAAACCACGTGTCAATTGTGACTAATCGCTGCTTGTATAGTGCGAGTGCATTTCTGTTATAACGAACTTCTGCTATAAAGAACTAATTCTCCTGCACAATGGTGGTTGTTATATCAGGAGTCCACTGTAGATGCAGTTGGCAGCAATGTGAGGTATGCACCTAAGATGGCCGTCATCTTTTTGCAGGGCAAGTTACCCCATACTTGCCAGGTACAACCTGTTATAGTACATTTATGAGTATGACCTCACAAAGCTTATGACCTTTTATGCAGAGCTACAGTGCTGACAACTGAAATCCGACCCCCTGAGCGGTACGCTCACATCGTAACACTACGAAATAGAGGCCGCTAGAAAGTGCACCGCCCAGGGGGTCGGATTTCAATTGCCAGCACTGCAGTATCACAGTGTGTACGGCTGTGGTGGACTTGCACCGCAAAACCTAATGACGGGAACTGGATGAATACATCCCACTCTAGACTTACAGAATATTGAGAAACAAGTTGAATGACTCCGCCGTGGACGTGATTGCTCCGTAAGCGAAGAAGACCGAAATGACGGCGCATGCGATGAAGAACAGGATCCATTGGAACAGGAAACCTGCCAGGTGCATATAAGCAAGAGTAGATAAACAAGAGTGTGCAACTCCGGATGGATTGGCCCACGGCGGAATTTTTTGTTGACGTAATCTTTTCGACGACGCACGCGCTGCGAGCCTTTTGGAGAGTTTTCCCTCGTGCACTTGGCTGGGCTTTACACTACAAGGTCGGTGCCCAGCACGTGCTCTCACACTGCTCTGCGGCAAAGCCGCGTTTCTCTGAAAAAAGGTGACGTAAACAAAAAATTCCGCCGTGGGCGCGGGGTATCTGCAGATTGTGCAGGAGAGATCCGGAGTTGCACACTCTTGTTTATCTACTCTTGATATAAGGAAGTGAACACAAGGAGGACATTTTTTTATAGGCTATTCAGACTATAGCCAACTGTGACCACGTTTCTACGACTCAGACGTGTTTGATCAGCGATTTTGCATGATTATTTCAAACACGCCTGCATCACCATGGAAAATCAAGTTCACCTACGATTTCGGCTGTAGTCCGAATGCGGCCTATTAGCCAGCGGAGAGGGCTCCACACAATAATGTGGAGCACTATTCACACTTGCCAACCATCCCGATTTTGCCGGGACCATCCCGATATCCAGGGTGGTAATAGGCACCCAAAAGTGCATTCGTCGTACGCCTCACAGCTCCGTTGGTTTCGACTCTTTTTGCTCAATTTGCACTGTTTTCCAGAGTGACCTTTCGAAATAGGTCACGTGACGTGAAGTTCTGCCATCACAGCACTGTATATAGGTTGTACCGGCAGTTGCACACTCTTGGGGGTTATGCACTCTTGCTGTTGTTGAAGCAATGATAGCAAACAATTAGACTTGTTACGAGTTATGACTAACTGTCCACCAACGTAACCAGATCTTATACAGTCAGCGAGTGCGGCAAAATGGCACAAAACTGACAAAGTTAGTCATAACTCGTAACATTTCGTCCTCCTTTTTCACTATAATTTAATTGGCTCATCATCCGAGTTAAAATCTGACTTGTGCTGGGTTTAAACCATTCAACAGCTTGCAAGGCTGATAAATCGACCGCTAAGAATTTTAACCTGGCCTCCATCACACAGTTGACTCAAGTGACTTGTTATGGCCGGTGAACCCCATTTTTCATTTGTTTCCATTCCTTCATTTTTGACACACACACACACGCGCGCACACCCATGCACGCACGCACGCACACACATGCACGCACACACACACACACACACACACACACACACACACACACACACACACACACCACCACCACCACCACCACCACCACAAATTACGGCATGCACTGGCTTTAAAAACGTTTCGAAACAATGTACGCATGGAGACAGGTGGAAAACTCACCCATGACAAGAACGGCTGATTGATATCCAGCAAACATGGTGAAGGCATGCTATAGGATAAACAGACGTGTGTACACACACACACACACACACTCACACACCCACGCACACACACACACAGACAAACACACACACACACAGACACAGTCAGAGCACTCTGACATTGATGCTTTCGAGACGATAGATACACATGTACATTCAAAAAAAAGCAACGAATTCATCCGCAGAAATTTAAATACCCATGTTCCGCGCATTCTGGGAATATGCTCAATCTGTAGATTACATATTTTAGTGTCACCCCAGATTGCGCTCGTAATCTGCAGATTGCCCAGGCAATCTGGAATTCTCAGATTGCTCAGAACACGCACACTTCGTGTCTCTTGCTCTCTCTCTCTCTCTCTCTGTCCGTCACGCACGCACGCACGCACGCACGCACCCACACACACACTTACACACACTTACACACACTTACACACGTTCACACACACACACACACACACACACACACACACACACACACACACACACACACGCACACACGCACACACACACACACACGCACGCACGCACGCACACACACACACACACACACACACACACACACACACATACACAAACACACAAACGCACCTGTTTGAACGGCCTGAATGCCAGCTTGGCATGCCTGATGCGTTTGATTTGCACTTCAGATCCCTTGTACATCAGAAGCATGTCACGCCTGAACACAGTACCACCGTCAAGCCAACACAGGAACGAAAACAAATTACACACGACGAAGAGAAAGAGTCAGCAGTGTCTTGTTAGCACTCAATGATGCGCACAATAAAATCCAACCCCCGATGTACACCAGTCCACAACTACAGCCCAGTGAAATCCAACCCCCGATGTACACCAGTCCACAAGTACAGCCCAGTGAAATCCAACCCCCGATGTACACCAGTCCACAACTACAGCCCAGTGAAATCCAACCCCCGATGCACACCACAGTTACGCACAATGAAATCCAACCCCCGATGTCCAGAAAAATACAGCTCAAGGAAATCCAATCCCCGATGTACACCACAGCTACAGCTCAGTGAGTGCGTTCGATTACAGACTTGAATCGATTCATGAATCGATTCAAGTGCATTCAAGTCGTTCGATTTTCATGTCATGAGCCCTGGAATCGATTCGGAATCCATTCACTCTATTCACATGGGGTGATGTGAATAACACGAATCGATTCATGAATCGATTCGTGAATCGATTCGCGCGTGTAATCGAACGCACTCACT